ATATGTGATTGCATGTGCATGTTGAAAGATGAAGCTCACCCCCTTATGGTACTAATTGGGGACGTTGTACACGTGCACGTTAATGGAAAAAGTTATGAAAAAGGAAAAAAAGGAAAATGCGTACCTTCATTGGTACTAAATTAGACTGTGACTACAATATATTTGACAAATATGATGTATGCACGTTTTGATATTAAATGATTAAACAGACTTATTTTATGCTATAAAATGATTATGCATATTTTTTTCCAATGCCTTAAATTATTGTAATTTTAGAAGCATGATTTACTCATTGGGTTCTATTTTGACTCACTCTTTCTATTTGAAATTATTTTTTAGGTATAATTTAATATAATTAAAATGAATAGAAGAGGTGAAAACGTATACCATATGTGAAACGCTCCAAATGGAAGGTATTTATATTTTTTTTTTATTTAATATTTTGATGTTTAGTGACTATTTCAAGATTATTGAGATAGTTTTAAAAGAATTGAAATTTTGATCTACCGTCCAATCGTATATTCCCACCTCGTTAATTCGAGCCCCTAGTCCGGGTCATGACATAAAGAGAGAGCTTCATGTTGGGATTCTTGGAGGAAGAGAGAGCTTCTTAAATGTAGAGGGAGAGCAGCTCTTGGAGAAGAAAAACAAAGCTACAAAGTTTATTTCTTTGCTAGAAGAGATTCCTTTTACAGCCTTTTGCAACTATTTAGAGACAAATCTACCAAGGACTCTAACTAATGGCTATACAAGGCTACATAAAGAAATGCCTAAAGAAAGTACACCTATTACTAAATTGAACCAAATGCTAACAACTTGCATAAATCTAAATCAAATAAACTACTCATTTATGATTTATTTGGGATGGCTTTCTTATTGATTCTTAAAACAGTTTTTTAGTAAGAAATTAAAATATTTGTACTAAAAAGTTGCTTTAAGTAGTAAGAAAGTCATCCCAAATAAAATCTTAATCAGCTAATCCACAGTTACTTGAAGCTTTATTTATCCACGTCACAGAGATTTTTAGAATATTCAAAGAAGCTTAATATTGCAATACGAAAAATAAGTTATCAAGTTACTGTTAAATAATATTTTGTTGTGTTCTTCAAGCATTTGAGAAACAATAAGCCGGTCCATAAACTTAAATAAACACTTAAATTTATGTTTCAACTCATTTAGTGGCAAGTAGAAATAAAAGAACTGTTTTCAGTCGCGTATAAAAACATAAACTGTATGAGGTATGAGAATAGAACATGTAAGAAAATTCGAGCAAAGCAGTAACCTGCTCAAGTTAAAATAAATTCAATTTTGGAAGCATTTAAGAAAGAATGAAATAACTTACTATATATTCAAATTATACTAAGGCTTCAGACAGCTTTATTACCCCTTTGCTTTTTAGTCACAACTGCAATTTTTATTTGGCCACTATTTTTTCACTATTTAAAAATATATATATACTTGTTGCGGACTAGAATATTCGTAACAATAGAGATATAAAGAGTTTAACGTCTTAGCTTTAAACGAAGATCCAGCACACATACAGATAAAGAAACGGCTACAACATTTGTAAGAGACTTCAGAATTTTTACGTGGAAAATCTTGAAAAGGAGAAAAACCATGGGGTTTGACCCGTTTGAAAAGAATACACTAGTGTTTATTGTTGATTGCAAATGGGCTCTTCCTTGGAGGGGAGGTATTGGATTAATGTAGCAAATAGACATCAAATAAAGCATATTACATGGTGGAAGTTGGAAGAATTAATCTACTGATATGAGTGTTGCGGGCTAGAATATACGCGGCGATAGAGTTATAATTCTACGTCTTAGCATTGCACGAATATCCAGCTCACACACAGAGAACACAATATTTTTTACGTGGAAAACCCGGGAAAAGGAAAAAACCACGAGGCCTAGTCCAGTTGAAAATGATTCCACTAGAATTTGAGAAAAGTACAATGGTCTGACTCGTCCTTGAAGGCGACCAGATTATAAGTATCAACTAAGAGTTTTGCAAGAGTTCAACGTCACTCCAATGTCAGGTGGCGATCCAATAGAACTCCGGTGTCAGGCGGAAGACCGGTAGTGGCACTTTAGTGTTAGGGGGTACTTCAGCTTCGGATGGCACTCCGGCGTCCCTTGGAAGTCCGACGGTGGTGCGGTAGCACTCCGGCGTCCCTTGATGGTCCAGCGGTGGTGCGGCAGACCTACGGCGGTGGTGCGACAGCACTCCGGCGTCCCTAGCTTGGTAGTCCGGTGGTGGTGCGATAGCACTCCGGAATCCCTTAGTGGTCCAGCAGTGGTGTGGCAGACCTACGGCGGTGGGGCAACAGCA